AGATTCAATTAACGAGCAGCCGAGCTCCACCGTAGCGCGGGGTCGCGCCGGCTTAACCTCGGCTAAATATTATTAATAATAATCAGCTCATTACCGGCTCCATTAATTATCCGACTGCATACGCGGTACCCGATATCTGTGCCTCCAGGAGCGCACTAAATTCGATTCTCTGTTCTCCAACGAGAACGATATTAACGTTCCCTTCGTCTAGATCATCCACTTAACTTATGTTTCCTCCCAACTAAATGATAAACAATTTCTAACATATTATTAAACATATATTATAATATACACGCGTTTAATTGTTTTTTTTCTTTTTTATTTTTATTTTTTATTATGTTATATTATCTGTTAACGTGTGTTACAAATATAATGATTGAAATATTAACATTCTACGAAATAAATTTATTTATTTCTATATAATATTAAATATTGTACGTAAATTTTCAAATCAATTAAGTATTTCAAAAAATCTCTTTTATTTCTACGAAGAATAATTTTAATATTAATGAAAAAGAAAATGATAGGAAAAAAGAAAAATGTTCAAAGATGTATCGCCAATGAAAATTTGTTGAACAAATTACTGATACCCTTGTTGTCTATAGTTCCAGATAACCGAATACCAGGTATACATCAAGAGTAAAGAATTTTTAATGAGAGCAAAGCTTACCTTTTCTGATATGACATGAACGACGTATCTGTGTTAGTGTTAATACACAGGTACAAGGAATATTAATCCATTTAACAAACTCATTATCATCGGTGAGATACGCCGAACGTTTACTGTGCCGCGCGTAACTGGACGCAGTTACGGCGCGAACTCACACAGTCTTATCTTCTTATTATTCTTTTTCTTCTTCTTCTTCTTCTTCTTCTTCTTCTTCATATTCTTCTTGTTCTTCTCGTTCTTCGGGGAACCCCAGGCGTATTAGCGAGTTGGCACCCCTGCGGCTTGATTTACGGGCTCCAACTAACGAGCCTCGAGCCTGCGTCAGAGTGCTTCTCGAACGAGATATCCAAGTTGGTACACAGCCACCAACATCCGAGAACAACCACGACTCGGCAGCTACTCGCGAACAAACCTTAAACACTTACACTTACAATCTTTGCAATCTTCTCGGATTGATGCGGATGAAACTTAAAGGAAGTGAGAGGGTGGTAGTTGCAAGACACCACCCTTGACCTTTTACTTTTGTAAGCACTACCTATTCCATGTTTGACGTGTTACGAAAATACAACTATGTGCACGACAAGTTGCTAGTTATACTTATATTTTTATTTGCGTTCTATTTTATCGTCAGTCGAAACTGACTTGATCTTTGGAATAGAATTATTTTATTATAGATGTTTGATATATTTATTAGGATAAATTAAATATTGATTTTTAAACGTTGAATGTGTTTCTACGATTCCTGTGTTTTAGAATGTTTTTGGTGAATTGTTATTTAAATATTAATAGTATTCTTTATATAATTTAGCTTGATTTTAGAACTAAAATATTTGATCATAGATATCTAGATATATTGTTCTATTTCAAATAGATTTTTAATCGTTCACTGGTTCTTACAATCTTCAAATAAGAACTTTGTTTATTGTAATATCAACGTTTTGTCTTTAATTGATCCTAACTTTAAAAAAGAAAGAAATATTTTCTCCTTCTGTTAAACATCGACTTGAAAATATTAATTCCGTAAATATTAGTCTCGTATAATTTAAAATAAAAAGAAAAGGAAAAAAGTTTATACCACGATCGTTAATAATTTGTACGGTTGAAAAATGAAATACATAAAATACAGAAAAATGGAGTCGTTTCGAAAGCGTATATCCATTTTCTACCATATTTTTTTATTGTTATTTCTCTTTTATTTTCTTATCGATCGTTAAAATAATATACACGTATACAGCAAGTTTACATGGAAGGAGTTTTAAGAAGCCGGCCGAACAAGTTGGCTCGCTTTCAACTCTCGAAAGCTCGAAACGAAGGCGACGAGCAGACACCAGGTTGGTTCAGCAGCCCGGGGGCTGATTGGCCCGTATTTGGTTCTAATTAAGGCACCGGCGTCGGTCATTAGCGGCCGCGAAAACGAACAACATTGTTCTGCGAACGAGACGAAAGGTAAAACGTACCGACCAAAGGCAAGCGGCATAAATCAACTTTCAAAGATACCTGTCGCCTTCGCTCGTTTCACGACCGTGTAAACTCGTATCCGCGTGGATGCTGTATTTTATCACCCTAACGAGACGATTTTTACTCTTTTTTTCCTTTTTTTATTATTATTTATTACCCTTTCTCACGAGCATCCTGTAAACTAAAATTCGGTAAAGGACATCTTTTTTTTCGGAATTATTATTTTCGATATAATTGTATTCGAATATGGTTTTTGAAACGAAAGATAAAATAGAAATTTGGACATAATTTTTGCACATCAACGCTGTCTGAGTTGCGTCACGATTTTATTGATACAATTTGTTTACTTATTATTTGAAGCGAATTAATTACTGATTGTTCGATCGTTACACTTTCTTCACGAGCATTACCATTTTTAAATTTTTTTCAAACACTTTTCCGTTCCACAGTAAATATTGAAAATCCTATTCGCAATTAAATTTTATTACAAAATACAACAAAGTCACATAAATTATTCTTTTACAAATCTTAACCGAATATAAGAATACCTTTCTCAAATAGTATCGACAAAATAAATAAAAATTATAAATATAAAATTGTAATGAAAAATGGAGAGAAAAAAAAAGAACATTCGATTTCAAATGAAGAAAATTCTACGCAACAACCCATACTTGCAATAGAAATTATTTCGCGATATCTGCCATATTCTACCAACCTTTCTTTCATTCCTTCCTTCCTTTCTTCCTTCCTGCTGAAGAAGAAGAATAATAAAAGAAGAGAAGCGAGCAATGCTCGCGGACTCGCATAATTGGCGCTATAGGCGCCCGATGGGGGCAGCTTAGCATGGCTAGCCGTAAGGGCAACCGATGCTGGATGAAGAGATTTACAATGTTCCCGGCCGTAAAATAATCAATAAAATCTGTACAATGTAAAGAAACGGACGTGCGGCGGTGATTTAGTATACGTGTTCTTTCTCTCTCTATCTCTTTCTCTTTCTCTTTCTCTTTCTCTTTCTATTTGTTGTGTGTAAGTGTACGTTGTTTGCTCTTATCCCTTTCTTCGATTCTACCACAGCCAACTTCGTTTCTAACATTTTTATTGCCACCGACTTGTCTTCGACTTTGTGCATTTTATTTCATGAAAATCTTGTGTGCGACAAATCATTGACACGCGTTACTATTTTGTTTATTTTTATTAAAAATTATCTCTTAAAAACGTAATCCCCCCCCTCCCACCCTCCCCTCAATAAAAATAAGTTTTCTTTACATTTAATCAATATTTTAAAATAATCTCTTCTCTTGGCAAATATTTTTCCATATAAACGATCACGTAATTTGTATGGTTAAGTGTGCATTAGAATTATTTTAGAAATCGATCCTTTTATTATATATTATGATCATTTATTATCATTTAAAAAGATAATCTGAATCTTTGATGGTAAAACGTTCGCGCGTTCTCGTAGAAATAAAAATGAAAAATTAGGAAAAAGTGTAGAAAATAAAGAGAAAAAGTAATAGATAGAAAATATTTCAAGATTGAAGTAAGCTAATCACTCGCCGACTCATCAACTAGATCCATTTGCGAACGTAAGTCAACGAAATGACGTTAGCCGTTGCTCTCCATGGCACACAGTTAAAAGGCGTGGCTGTGGCCATTTCAAACGGCACGTTTCTACTCTTTACGAGGCGTTAAAGGCGCGGTGATTGATGGCCTGGGAGCAACAAATAAAGTTATGCCAATGAGCGAAGAAAAATTAAAACAAAACAAGAAAATAAAAAGCCTCCCCCGCACCCCCCCCCAAAGAAAAAGAAAAAAATGAACAGGCACATGAAAAATGTTTAATTTTCTAAAAGTGTGCCGAGAGAACAAACGGAATAAATAAATTGAATCCAACCCATATTACATACTTTTAATTAAATTCGTTAATTAAATTCATTCCTTTTTGATTGGAATAAGAAACAAACGAGGGGGAGGGGGTTGGGTTAAAAAAAAAAACAAAAGAAAAAAAATAACCGAAATAGCCGTTGGTAATCATCGATGTGTTGGGATTAATCAAGTCGTAGGTATATCTCAATGTGAGTTGAGTTTAAACTTTCTGACTACTCAAAAGGGAAATACTTAGATAGTAGGTAATATAGGGTGGTTCGAGAATCCCTTGAGGGCTTTTGCAGCGGGAGCCAAGTCTGGTGACGAATTTACGAGCTCCTTACGTGCTTGCCCTCCCCGAGTCAGGCTCGGCAATAAAGTACGAGGCCAGAGGATATTCGAAACAATCGGAACTCTCTCAGAGGAACCCAGTATCTTCTATCTCTTTCTCATTCTTTATATTTTCTTTTTCGAAAGAAGAAGGCTCGATCAAATTTAAAATTGATTTACGAGCGATCGCTTTCGTTTTACGTTTTTCTCTTTTTCTCGTTTTTTCTTTTTTTTTTTTTCTTTCTTACTCGATAAAACTTCATTTCACGTCTACAAATTTGTTCGGAATTTAAGCTTTAAATGTAACGAAACGTACACGAACAAAATGGAGAATATCGATGAAATAAAAAGAAAGGGAAAATATCCTTCCTCCGTAATAAGAAAAGGAAAAATAAATAAAATAAAATAAAAAAGAAGCAGAGAAAGAATCTTGCCCGTTTAAACTCGAGGAACGAAGACGCGTGATTGGCGCACTCATTAAGAACCAATTAAACATAATGGCGCCTTTTACTTGCAAGTTCTTCGCACATGGTGGCGCTAGTTGTCGGATGTATCTAACTTCACGCATATAATATGCACATGCGAGTAAACGTGATATATTTTTATTATATATATTATATAAATATGCAACTATCTTAAATGTTGGTTAATTCTTTTCTTTTTAGTAGCTTAACGTTCGTAAAAATTCATTTTAAATTATTTTTAATGTTTAGATATTTATGAAAAAAAAAAAAAAAAGAGGAAGAAGATATTTATGTCGTTTCCTCGTTTCCTTTAAATGTAGGATTACTAAAAGTTGACACTGCCTGTTTATAGAGAGGATTGTCACTCTGGAATAAAAATTATTCACATAAATTTCATTTTAAATATAATAAAACAAAATAATAGTACTCCTATATAATAACAATAATTAAGTAATATGAAATAACTTACGCGGCCCCATGTTGCAAGTACACGCTCTCTTTCAAATTTTTCATATTCTCTTTTATCATGAACCATCGTTGCTATTTTCCATATTAAAATAATCAATAATCCAGCCAATATTACACTAATAGCAACACCCAGAGCAACACCTACATGAACAATCATTACATTTATTTCATATTTTTTTATTATGCTATTTATTTTAATTTAAAAATTCTGTTTATTACCAAACACATCGATTGGTACAGGACACTCTGGTTTTTTTTGCACTAAAATCTTGATCGTGTTATCTTTATTTTTACCCTTTCCAACATACTCGTATTTGAATGCAAAGAAACAACCCCCGTCTCCATCAGTACGACAATAATGAGTATCCAATTTATAATCGTTTTCGGAATCTTCTTTTACAACGTCAACCTAATAAATAAATTTGTTTACATTTTTATAAAGAATTAAATTCAAGTTCTTGTCAATTTACATAAATAATTAATAAATAACCAAACTTACAATGCTTATTTGATAATAACAGTTGCAAGTTCCATTTTGGGCAAGTGGACCAGTTCCATAAGCCATACATTCGACGCAATCTTTTAATTCCTCGCATCTCTGGCCCGGACAGTTCTATAAAAAAAATTTCTCGATTATTATTAACATGTACTAATTCTATAAAAGTCAAAATTGAGAGTAGGCTAATTTAAAAATTCAAGATCCGTATAAATAATTGCCGAATAACCGAAAATAATATTCCTGTAGCAACGTTATTAACCGTAAAAAGAATGAGACAATTAATTCGTCGATTTTACGATAGTCGAAAAGTTGAACGAACGCATATACATATTGGTATGTCGCAAGAATAAAATTTAAAAAAAATTCAGCGACGCGAATTATATCGAAGAAGTGGAAATTTTGCGATAAGAAAAAAATATGAAGGAAGCCAATTTGGCTTAAACAAGCAATCAAGCAAAAGCAATCAAGTCGATTAAATATAAATTGAAGTTAAAAAACGTGGAAAATATTTTGCAAAATACTTTGTACGAAAGAAAAAAGAAAAAAAGAAATCGCTTAAACGAACAAATCAGAAAAATAATTTGTTCCGAATTCTTGTGAAATGTGAAATTGACAGTTATATTTTGCCAAATTTGCAAACAAACGAAAAAAAAAGACACAGAAAATCGGAAGAGGATCCGTTTTAAAATGTAGATTAATATTAATCTCTCAGTTTCGTTCTTTGACTTTTTTCTTACCGGGCACTCCTCGCAAAATTCACCGGAATATCGGATCTTGTCTTTTTCATGACAGTGGCATTTGCCGCAGATGCAGTCGCCGCGGCCGCTGCAAATCGTCGAGCTTTTCTCGGCTTTATCCGTCGAGGGAAGAATACACGTGCTGTTGGTCTCCTTGCAATCACAGGTTTCGCCGCTAAAACCTGGCCGGCAATTGCACCTACCGCATTCGCACTTACCGTGTTTGCCGCAAACCTTAAAAGCACCGAAGTTGCAAGAAACAAATATTAGAAGATATGGTATCAAGATGATGCACTATGTTGAAAAATAAAAAAAACAAAATACAAATGTAGAAATGTATTTTCCTTTTCAGGAAGAAGGAATTTTCTTCAAAAGTATTATAGTTTCAAAAATAAAGCGAATCTTACGTCTCGTTTGATTAATTTCTACAAAAAAAAAAAAAAGAAAAACAAATAAATAAATAAATTTCTTTCAGAAAGTAAAATCGTAAAATTTTGTTTAATACGTTCGAGAAACAATTTTCGTTTCATTTATTCGACAAATATAATTTTAGTCAACGATATTAATTCCTTCTCTATTCCGAATCATTCGTCGAGAATCTCATTTGAATTTAAACGTAGGCGTATATAATAAAAGATCGCAAAAGTCGTATCTATATCGGTGAAGATAACGATCCCCCATCGTGTAAATAATTTCGAAAATAAAACGACAATTAGGGAAACTCACCTCATCTCCGCTTCGTTTGCAAGAGAAGTTATCGCATTCGCAGTACTTCCCATAAAAGATTTCCTGCGGGTTCTCGCGTTTCATGCAATTGCAGACACCACATTTGCAAGCACCGTGACCACTGCAAATCTCGTCGCTTGTGTTGCTTGCTTTGCAATCTTCCGTTACGTTCTGACTACTCGAACCGAACTCGTGTCCCTCGCATTCGCATTGTTTACCGTAAAAGCCATCGTTGCAAAAACAAATACCGCAAGTCAACGTGCCTCTTCTTTTACATTTAACTGAATTCAACTGATATAAACATAAAAATGTATTTTATATTATATAAATCATTTATTAAAATTATTTACACTACCATATATTTATAACGTACGTGTATGTGATTGCGGTATGTGTTTGTAAGAAAAAAAAAAAAAAATATACCTCAGAATTATCTTTCTTTTCGCAAGGACAATCGCAAAGAATTTCAATATCGACGGTCAGACTTTCGTTTATTCCACGAGGTTTTATCTGCAACACTTGCTGCCTTTCGCTTAAATTCTTTGGACATTCAAAAGCCTGAAAATAAATCGGATTTACATTTATTGCAAAAGTATTGTAAATGAATAGCTCGCGTTTCGTTTTACCTTCAAAACAATTTCGAATTCTACGACGTTTCCAACACGCAATCCTCCGCATTCTTGCCATTCCATTAATTTTTCGGTCGCATTCAAACATCGTGAATAATATTTAACGTTGATAAAGTTTGGTGCGTTATCCATTATCGACACTGAACTCACTAATTGCTAAATTAAACGATGATGTCATTAAAATATTATTACATTAATATCTCTCAATGTTAGAAATTGTTTTTCTTCTCATAAGTCTTGAGATATTATTCGCGTAATTCGAATGCAAAATAAAATAAAAAATAAAAAATAAATTGTAACCTTTTCTCGTTGAACTTTCTGATAATGACTGATTGAACGTTACTTTGTCGAATACCATTATCATTATCATTAATATTCAAATTACACATTGTTGATATTACAAAGTTTTACTCCAAGCAAACAAAATTATTTTCAAACATACAAAAATATCTTTTTCGTCAATAATACCAAATAATATCTTATATGTATTTGAAAATTAATTAAAAACTAGTTAAATATCGTTACATGCATGATATGTCTATAAATTTATGGTAATGAAAGAGAAAATACGTAATTTAATATCTATATTAAGGGTTGTGAAAATATTTGCAAGATTTAAAAGGGATGGCCAAATGGAAAAGTTTGAGAAACTTTGTAGTATACTATAGATTAATATTAATATAAAATGAATATTATGATAAACAAAATACCTCGTATTGTCTACTGATGAGTGCAACAATATTTTCACCGTTGCCTTCCATCGTATCGATGGATGATCCACTGATAATTTCACTTAAATTTTGATAAATCCTATAATATTTGTTATTTTTTTTCAGCGGCAAGGCAAAGATAATATTCACGTTATGTTCTCGAGATTTTTTAGCGATCTACGTTGAAAACAAAATTCAATTGCATTATAATAAGGAGTAATATCAATGATCGATTAATTATTCGATCACTGAATTCAAGAATCGTTAATCGGTAATTGTTTCATGTTATTTTTTTAATTGAACGATCAATGAATTAACATACCTGAGCAATCGATGGATAATCTTGAAGTAACGAATGACTATAATATCCCTGTTCATCTAAATGACATTGGCAATCATTTGGTTCGACGATACCAGCTAACTGAAAATCCCTGAGTTTCAATTAATATTGAAAATAATTGATCTCATTTGTATAAGTATATCAATGAGATATTAGACGAAATATATGCCATACTTTTCCGTCACCTGCCAAATGAAAAATTCCGTCTGTCGAAAGTACAAGAAGATGACGAGCCTTTTCTCGCCAACCAATTTCATTCGAACAAACTATGGCCTGCATCAAAGCATCGAAACAACCCTCGGGTATATCGTTGTTCGCGGAATGTGGAGTTTTCATCACTCTATCCTAAAAAATTCATGAATACTCGATTATTACTCTTCATCGTTTTTAAAGTATTAAAAATATTATTTTCAATAAATATAAATATTACTAAAAAAAAACAACACAAGACTATTTTTTCATATTTTATTTTTGTTATAAAAAATATGAAAAGTACCTGGAAAAGTATGGCATTGTCAGTGAGAGACAACTGATGCTTGAATCCATACGAAGGCACACAATAGGTCCTTTTATATTTCGAATAACAAGGATTTTTCAACCTAAAAACAATTGATATTTTGTTATACAAACTATTCAATTTTACAGTATATTTAATTTCATGAAAAATCATAATTACCATGATTTTTGTGTTTTACTCATCGGTAGGACAACTTTATCAACGAAACTTCCAAAACCGAGACGAAAATTGGACGTTAATTTTTTCATTGCTGACTGTAATTTTACAGCAAGTTTCGATAATTTTTCTTTGTAAACTCTCATCGTAAATGATATGTCCATCAGAAAGTACAAATCAACGGGATAATCTTCCGCTTGACTGTACTTCAAAATAATCCGATATTCCTCGTCTTTGAAGTTTATTTTATAAAAAGAACAACAATTTTTTACGATTGATATAAAATGATATATTATCTGGAAAAATATTTTTTTTAATAATATCTTACCTTTTCTTAAACGTAATTTAATCCGTTGAGGTTGTATTTGAACTGGATTTTTTCCTTTCACAGAAGACAACGGAAGATTTTCAATAATCGTCATCGAATTTTGTATATCGACCACGTCATGTTTTTTACACCATAAATCACCTTCCTTTAATAATTTCTCTCTCGTAACGCAACGTACAATTTGTTCGTTCTGTCCAAATGACTTGGAAAAATAAATCAGATAATGTTAATCAAATAAAAAGGAAATACACCTGTTTGTTAAATAGCCAAAAACAATAATATAAATCAAAGTAATTAGTTAACAAAAAAGTTCGTACAGATTTCAAAAATATCTTTCTATTATAAATTATTAATAAAAGCAAGCAAGAGAGAGAGAGAGAGAGAGAGAGAGAGAGAGAGAATATTTATATAATGCAATTAAATATTAAAATCAAGTATTCAATTTTTGAACATGAAAATTGGTCAAATATTAACATAATTATACGATGTGTTTTCTATAAATAAAAATTTCTTTTTACACTCCTTTTTTATTATTTCATTTATCTTGTTCTTACGTTCGTCGAACACCAAACACATTTCGGGGTTTGTAAACACTTTCCACATGTTTCTTGAGACGCGCAGATACTTTCCGAGTCCTTGTATTCACCTGACACTAAAATAATAATACTAAGAAATAAATATGCGTGCAGTGAGAAGACTACATATGATCGATGCATCGTATGGCTGTTTTATTGCTACGATTCGCTTATGCGAACTATTCCGAGGCTGTTATAAGAAGTTTCAAGTATAGCAAGTGAGTAACGATTAAGAAGGATATTGCGGTATTTCGCGGAAGTGATACTAACAATGTGAGATAAAAATGATCGGTCTATGTGTCACGAAGTAAATATTCCGTCTAATTAATTATCTCTCTCTCTCTCTCTCTCTCTCTCGTCTTTAGTTCTTAGAAATAAAATGAATCGAGTCTCGTAATCGCTAATAAAACAAAAAAATTAAATTGAAAACTTATGATTTATTTTGTTTTTCTTTTTACTATTTACAAACCAATTTTTACATTATATAAAATGTGATGTTTGTTTATTATTATTTATGTATAGGTATATGTTCAATTAAGTTAACTAAATAAGTATTATTACAATTTTGAAAGATGTATATTTAAATAAATAGTAGTAATATTTTAATATTAAAATTGTTAGTGATTTTTTATCCAATTAAATGTAACGCATAGTATTTTATTTTAAATAATAAATATTTTTATGTGGTATTTTATATAATATATTTTAATAAATGACACCATAGTATTTTTTTTATATTAGAAATACCAACGTTACTGATCGGTCTTAACACACCATACTATTATTATTATTATTATTATTTATCTATCTTTGATAATATCTCTGCCAACATATTTCCTATTTTGATTTTCCCGTAATTTCTCGCAAACGCAATATCCATGACCATTACAAAGTTCTTCGCTATTTTCTGGATCTATGCAACCAGAAGTGAACGTGCTGCAATCGCAACCTGTGTCAATCTTTCCCGAATAGCAACGACAGTTTCCATATGCACAAGCTCCTTGACCATTGTACAACTACGAAAATTTACATTGGAAAACATGAAATAAAATTACGACACGCGTTATAAAATCCAAATTGTTAAATTGTTCAAATCAAAGTTGTCAATAAAAAGGGATAACTTACGTACGAAAATTGTACATAAAACAGAAAAAGTTTTTAATGTTTCATTGAAATTGTCCATTCATTGAAAGACAAAATAATTTTAATAAATAATTACTCTAGACTCGACACGATTTCAAAAAAGATTGTCTGATAAAAACATTTACAAAAATCTTAAATACACTGGCCACGGCCATTGCACACTTTTGCAGTTTCATTGTCGGCCATACAATCGTCTATGGTATTCGACAATTTCTTTGGTGAGCGTGTCCCACAAGGATAATCCTGTGCCCAACAATAGAAAAGAATCAATAAAAATATCACGAACGATAACAATTTCCGCAACATTTTCGCACGAAATCACGAATCCTAGGACACGAATAATTTTCAAAACAAAAAGTAAAAAGAGAGAAGGAACAGATCTTTATATCACAACGACCAACTCGTGGAAACTGCGAGTTTAATAGTGCTCTCGTTTTAAAATAGTATTCATAATCGTTGAAAAAATTCTGAACTCTTTTTGATAAGCACGTCGGTTGATAAACTCGTAACAGCGCGAATCGCTTTTATTGCACGAATCGAAATTAATCAGTAAAAAAATAATAATTTTTTTCTATTCATTTCTGTGTTTTTTTCCTGCCCGATAAGAGCTTGCAAAAAATCTTCTTTGAAAAATAATTTATGTCCTGCTAATATTAAATACATCGGTAAAAAATAATTAAAAAATAATTTCCACATTCGCAGAACGTATCCTATCTTTCTTTTTTATATTACATTCAACAAATTGATTATAATTTTGTTATCTTTTTTTTTTTTTTGGCAATTTTCTTTTCATATTTCTTTGCAAAAAAATTGAATTTAAAAATTAATTCAAATCTGTAAGATGCATGGAGTACCCTCTAGCGTAAATTTCTATGCAACTAATAATGGAATTGTTGTTACCATCGGAGGATGAATATTTACCGTAAGATAGCGATTAAAGATACTTTTCCATCTAGTTCCTCAGAAAAATTAATCTAACTATTTAATAATATATATAAACTAGACGGTGTCGCTGTGAGTGTAACACGAACCACTAAACGAGTTTCTTTTGGCCAGAAAATCTCGTGCCACCAGGTGAGTCCGAAAGCATCCTATTATTCCAAAAATAATGTGCATCAAAATTAAAAAGATATAAATCATCTCCATAATGGAAACTTGTGATACACTAATCGTCGTGATACAAATTTCGAGTAATAGGAAGAACTGTGATATACAAGATTATATAATATAACTTTATGTCCCCAAAATATAAAAGGTTTGAACAAACATTTTTGATAAATTATTAGACCTGTTTGTTTGAAATCTAAGACCACAGATCTATTCAATTTTTACCGAACAATTTATTTTCCTTAAATGTTATCATTTTTTGTACTAAATTTCTTTCCAAAATATATTAAATATATTTGATATTAATCATGTAGTAATAATGTTAAGTAACACAATTGTCTTTTGTAGAAGGGACTTCATAAAACCAAAAACTTATTAATTTTTATATACATTTAACGACGTGCAACATGCATTGTCTCGGCTTCTTTTTTTAGGTTAAGTTGCCCGGCAAGAAGTTTTTATATCTTTTTGAATTTATAACTTTACCTCTTTTCCATTTTGATATTGATCTTATGAATGTAAAATATCATTTTAGAATTTTACTCTTCGAATTTTTATTGTTTCAATACATTTTATCAATTAGTTATTACAAAAATACGTCGGTAGATATTTTATTAATAATTCAACGTGTTCACGATATGTATTAGTCAACGAAAAGTTTAAAAAAAAAAAAAAGATTTATGGGAGAACTCGTTCGATGTTTTATATTTTTTTAATATGATTTATAAAATAATCGTTATTTTCAAAAAGAAATTTTTTATTTTATAATACAGAACTACAATGCAAATAAACAAATTATTCGATTTTAATTTTTACGGGATTAAGAAAAGACAAAATGGTGTCGCAAACGCGCGAAATTCAAACCATTAAAACGTTACCCGGTATATTTTTTATCGTCTTTAAATAACCGAAAGCTTTTGAAATTATGTAATTTGGAAGGCGGCTGCCTTCGAATTACAAATCGCGAAATACATGATACAATTTTTTTCATTAACAAACATGAATAAACCTAAACAAAAACTAAATAAATATAAATCATTCAAATTCATAATTACTAATAAAAAAAGCACTTTATATTAAACTTTGTTTTTAAAATCATTTTTGATCAATCAAAAATTATTTAACATTACATGAATTACAATTTACATTTGTACAAATTATAGTTCACAAATGTAATCTCATTTTTTATTATTAATTTATTGTATTAATTTGATTGTGTATTAATGAAATTGGTTATCAAAATTGACGATCATTTTAATTTTTGGCATCTCACTATTGGTCATAGATATATAACAACATTGTATTATTTTAAAACGTAGACGGCGCCAAAAAGACGTTTTTATCTTCTAGTTATTATTATAACAAATGTCTCGAGATGTTAAGTAGAAAACTTTGTAGTTAAAACGAACATGTAGAAATAAATTGTTGTTGATTAATCAGCTAATCATTCATTGCTCCATTAATTTTACGTTATACATTTCATAAGAAAAATTGCTATGCGTCAATGCAATTTTTTCTCATATATGTAATAAAATCAATCGTGATATTTAATGACGTAGAATATCATTTTTTGACCTGCATACATATATGTGTATGTGTGTTTGAACTTTGATTTCTTGCTATGTCTCAATATTAGAGAACTTTTTTTTTAAAGTATATAATATTTGCAAAATATATCCTAACTAAATATTTTATAAGAACAGATAAAAATAAAATATATTACGTATAATCTTATCGCTACGTTATCAGGTTTTAGTCAAACTATCGTGAAATTATAAATATTATCTCGAATATTATAAATATTAGAATTTTAAATAATAAGTCATACCCACTTAGAAATATTATACAATATGGCTTTTAATGTTGCGTCATTATTAATTAAGTTCAAAATATAATAAAAAGTAAATGTAATGAACAATAATATTTACCCTCAATGATTGATTCAAAAGTCTTTAGGTGATATTAAAAATTAATTACTCTTGTTTGAGACGTTTCAGGCTCCTAAACGAATGTAAAGTTTTAAAATCAAAACTTGCAGTTTTATAATCAATAAAAGAAATTAGTTTAGAAAGTCTCGAAGAAGGGTAATTAATTTGTAAATCACATAGAAACTTTCGGCCCACCTTGTACCCTTGTAAGAAATTTTTAATTTGTTTTTCTTTTTTTTTTTTTCAGAAAACGGACTCGATATTGCAAACTCGAAATGCATCTATCCCAAACTTACCGGTACGGTCTCAAATTGACATTCAATCAGGTTGGTATAATGTTCTCATATATTTTATAATTCCACGTTACGTAATCTTTGATTCTTCTCGTCTTTCTTGCATTAGGATTAATATATTTATTGAATTGTATTTATATCAATATTTATTTTTGTTTCGATTGTGGAACAATTCATTTTCTGGCAATAAATCTTACCATAAAAATCTATGAAAATGTAAAGAATAATTATGTTGTTAATTTTCTTTTCAGACTGGTTCGTCAATTATTCGTAAAAGTAACGAAGAACGTGGCGTAGCAGCATGTGCTTTATTATTAGCAACAACTGGGTTATCATTGAGCATGTTTTCACTTAAACAGATGCGATCGTGTCCCCAAACACGTCGAAGAAAATTAATGTAATTATTATTAATTAATCAACGATCATAACACCAACACACATTAACGAGAAGTGACGAAGAAAGAAAAGAAATAGAAGAAAATTAGAGTGAGCAATCATTGGACATTGGTGCTAGAAAAAAAAAAAACGCAAATAATTCGAATTATTCGAATATGTTCGTGTGAATTCGAGCTAAAAAATACAAATAAATAAAACAAAGTTGCAATTGGAATAGAAGAAAGCAAGAATTGAACAAAATTGTAGATTTCATTTTACTTAGGATATAATTATTATAATGTATATATTATACAAAGCGATATATGATATTTTAATTATTTCGAATTAAGTATGTGAT